CCTCCCTTCCCCGCGGAGCCTCCGTCATTCGGACTGGGCAAACCCGTCGCCAGCTCTTTGGTCGACCCTAGAAATTCGAGGGTGTGAAAGTAGTAAAATGGTGCCCTGAAACCTCAGCTAGGGCTGCCAAAGGTGAGTCCTGACTTGACACAAAGAGATGAAGCCCTTGCCTTTGCTTTAGCGGAGATTTCTCTTTCAAAGGCACTCGCATAGGCCTGTTTCAGAGTTCTCTGGTGTTTAATGTATTCGCGAAGGCTGGTGTTTGTTTCTTTACTTGGAACTCTTCCTCTCTGTAGACTGAGGGAGGAGCAGCTGCCACTTCTGGATGGACAGAGGAAGTATTTTGTCTTTAAGGAAAGGGCAACCTCTGGCGGGTGCTGTAGGTTGCTTCCTGCAAGAGAGGAGTGGGGGGAGGGGAGGATAGGTCCTGCAGGGTACAGGCTATGGCCCCACACACCTTGAACTTTCTTTCTACGTCCTTTGCAGTCTGCCGGCGACCTAGAGAATGATGAGCGCACTGCTGGGGTGATCTCAGAGCTGGTGAACACAGCCTATGCCTTCCGCCTGCCCCGCTGTGCAGAGGTGCCCTTCCGACGCATCTCAGGTAAGACCAAGATTTCATAACCTTGACAGGTGTTCGCCCTTACAGATCAAGTATTGAGAGTAGTATTCAGTTTTTTAAATGCATTCCTGTGCCCCCTCCCTACAAAAAACACTCCCCCCACTACCCCCCCGGAACAGCTGCCATTCCTCTGCTAAGGACACCATAGGGCAGTGTAATGAAATGTGGTAGTCTAGGATGTATTGAGTGTCTATGTTTGTGGAGGAGGGATTAGTTGAGAAGGCAGCATTTCCCTCATTCATAAGGGGCTGCAAAGTAAAGCCAAAGGCTGCCATGTAGGAGGGGGCAACTGCTTGCAGATCCCTGGATCCAGTGCCATTTTGCAGTCTATGAGAAGAAGAACTAGTTCAAATGAGGGAGGAGCAGCAGATAGTATTGAAAAGACTGAAAGAAACAACTGTAAGGAGGGCATTGAGAAGCTGATGCTCCTTACTTCATGTGCTTTACCAGCTGTTGGAAGGAGAGAAGGAATCTGTTCCTCTCTCTCTCTGTGACCATGGAGGGGCCTTCTTTTCTTTGCCCCAAAGCACCTACAGCTGTGGGCAGTTCTGATTTACCTTAGGGCTCCTGATTGGGCTCCTCTTCCCTAATCTATATGGCACTGGTCTCCTAAATATCCTATCCAAGTTGGCCTGAATTCAAGGTTCATCTGGTGTACCCTAGGCCTCCTCCCATTCTTCCGTTCCTTAGGAGGTTGCCAGGGCAGTGGAAGGAAAAGGGAGGATCAAGGGACACTGCAGAGACATGGAGGGAGGGGCCTCCTACTTAGAGGAGGAGATCTCCTGCAGAGAAGCCATCTGATGGCAACTGAGAAGGGGAGCTTCTTCCTGGTGCCCCACCCCTAGTATTCAGGAGCTGTGCTGTGCTTTAGGCACTTGTTAAAGCTCTGCTTCTTCTCACAGGGCTTCCCAAACTGACTATGCTGCCCAGTTTGGCAATTCTTGTTAGAGGCTCAGGTTTCAGATATTTTAGTTGATAGCTGTTTATATTGCCTAATGTTTGTGTTTCTGACTTTGTATGTTGATGGTTTTGTTGTATGTTTGTTGTACTTCCATAGGAAGGGATACAGAAATTGAAATGCTGCTGTTACTGTTCATGCGTTCCCTTCAGCAGCCAGAACAGTGTGTGTGCCAATATCTGTCCCTGCAAACCACAGAAGGGCAGGAGGTGGGCTTCCCATGGCTGCCCATAGTGGGAACAGAGAGCTGGAGTTGGTGGTCCTTGGGTGTGAGGCAGCTTCAGGGGTCCTCTGAGACAGCTGTGGTGCAATCTCAGAGCTTTACTAGCTTCATAGTGGCTTCCTAGATGGCTCAGTCCCTCAAGTGGGGAGCAACAGCGAAGTAGACAGATGGGTTCCTCGCACACTCCCTGCTCTCTGCCAACCTGCTTAGATGTGTTCTCTCTCCTCTATCCCCCAGTGGTGTTTGGGGAACACTCCTTCCTTGTGACTGTCTCAGGACAGAAGCTGTTTGTGGTGAAGAGACAGAACAGTGTCCGGGAACCTCTGGTGGTCTGAGGCAGAGCCACCTGCTGCAGTGGCTGGAACAGGGAGAGAAGGAGCAGTCCGCTGTCTTTGGTGGGCAGGGCTCCTCCTGGATGGGGCTGATGGTTGAATGGTTCGTGTTTTCCTTACTGTGGAAGACATTTGCACTCATAAGTTAAAGACATAGACCTGTATCATGTGGAATAAACATTTTTTTTAAACTATAGTCTTCTGTCAGCTGCATACCGTGTTTCCCTGAAAATGAGACAGGGTCTTATATTAATTTTTGCTCCAAAAACACATTAGGGTTTATTTTCAGGGGATGTTTTATTTATTTATTTTCATGTACAACAAGCTACATTTATTCAAATACAGTCATGTCCTCATCTTCTGGTTGCTGCACAATGGTGGAGGGCAGGGTTTCACTTAACTGGCTTATTTTGGGGGTAGAGCGTCTATAACAAGCATCCCGAAAAATTATACTAGGTCTTATTTTCAGGTTAAGTCTTATTTTCAGGAAAACAGGGTAATATGCAGCATAACGAGCTGCACACAGTGCTTGTTTAGCACCATTAAGGAGATTTATAAAACAGCTAGGTCATCTGTGGCTGATGAGAGGGTAAACCCTCTCCTTTCTTGTTCCATCAGGGAAAATCTGCATGGACCTCAGAGCCTCAAGCCTGGTTTTTAAGCACAAAGGATTCAGTGTTAAAACTCCTGCCATGGCTGCCATTTCCTGGCATGCCACAGACACCTGGTTCTTCCTCGGGCACAAAAAGGGTGGGTGGGTGCTTTGATGGCAATTCAACTCTTCAGAAAGCAAGGTTTCCTCTCCCCCAGGGGGTTGAGCATTGGTGTCTCTGCCAAGGAAAGAAGTATAAGGGGTGGGTGGAGAAGAGAACAGACGAAGCTGCACCTCACCCCATCTTCAAGAACATCCTTCCTGTTGCTGATATCTGAAAGTCCAACTGCTAGAAAACCCCGCCCACCATCACATTGGATTGCAGACTGTTCCTTCCCCTTCCATTGTCTCCCCTTAGCGTAGATGCAATGTGTCCGCCTGACTAAGTTGATAAACTGCTGTTTCTTCCTGGGAGGGGCTGCAGGGCACCTGGGGGCCTCTCCTCACTGACACATCATGAGCATCTGGGCATCCCTTGCGTCACTTACTCCCAAAGGCCAGCCTCTCCTTGTGCTTTGCTCGTTAACTTCACTGCTGCCCTTTCTCATCACCTGGGGGAAGGAACACCCAATCTCCCCTGTTTTGTACACGTCCGAACAGCCTGTTGGTCCAGCATGCCCAACGTAGTGGTGGTGGTGGTAGTAGTAGCAAGTAAGGTCGCTGTGCCTGGAAGACGCACACATTAACGGGCAGGACATTTGGGTGCCGTCTTTCACTTTTTCAGGTGGAAATCATACCTGTGACTGACCACTGGCTTCCTTTGCATGGCACTGCTAAGACCTGGAGAACTTCTGCTAAGCATCCCTAGCATAGTCACTCAAAACTCTGACCAGCAATGGAGGGAGAGGAGCAGAGGGGCCCGGTACCTTTCCAGAGTCAGAGGCTGGTAAGCTCAGTGTCTTATAAGCAAAGAGAATGGGGAGAAGTGGAGGTGGGTTAGAGTTTCCTCGTCTCACTCCCATGCCACCTCCTTGAGTGCCTGAAGAGGTACTGTCGCAGATATCTGAATCCGGTTTCCAGCCAGCCCAGTTTATTCACAGACATACAAAAAAGGTTGTTGGAGCTGCTTCTGAGGCAAATTAAATATATACATATATAAATAACAAGCATTAAATAAAGTGCAATGGAGGCACTTTGGCCTGAGATGGTGGCGAAGGGCTAGGAGGTCAGCCTGATCTTTCCGTCCATGGAATGGGTTGGATTCCAGTAGGGGCAGGAAGGAGGAGGAGGAGGACATAGACAGCCGTGTCAGGCATAGGGAACGGTTGCTCAGCCTGAAGAGGAAGAAGCCTGGTTCCTTCCAGTCGCAGAAAGTGGTGCAATCCAGGTTGAGAGGAGAGCAAAGCAGTCCCTTCACCAGCAGGGAGCAGCCCAGTTGTCCAGTCCAGGATCCCACCAGGATGTAGCTGCAACTGTTCTTCCTGTCTAGGAGACAAGAAGTTGCCAAGCGCTTCCATTTCCATGCCGATTCCTGCTCTGAACCCAAAAGAATGGAAGGAAAAGAGGTGCCAGAGCTGATGCGGGGTGAGGGTGGGGATGGGGGGGGGGAGAATTCCTGGCAATGGGTGCCAGCCACTTTGAGCTCCCTGGCATGAGCAGTGGAGAATGGTGGGCAACAGGCAGGGCAGTGAACCGCTGCCATGCCCAGAAAGATCCTTGCTTGCCAGGCACACCATGGGCTGGAGAGGGCAATGTGGGGACAGCAGCCAAGGGACATTTTCACGGGGGCCAGTCAGAGTTGCGCTGGGGGACAGTTGTTCTGCTGTGGGGCAGGAAGCAGCTCCCTTTCCAAGGGCGGGGTTCCCTCTCCCCAGACCATCATGTTCCAGGTGCAATCACCAGCACTTTACACTCTCGTTTGGCAATTTTGTCAAGGGAAAGAGCTGCTTTGTCTGGAGGAAGGTAAAGGGGACGCCCTACTGGAGACCCCACCGGGGGTGTGATGGCTCGGCGCTCCATTACACTGCCTGACCTGTTTGGGATGGAAAAAGGAAAGGAAAGGAAAACCTCAGAGGAAGCTCAGGCCACGAGCCTTTTCCCAGCCTCTCTCCTCCCCCTCACACTTGTCCTGCTGCGGTGGCACCTTCCCCTTGGGCTAACTCTCATTTCCCCCCACCCACCCCCAAGAAGTCACAGGGAGGCAGCTCGCTCCCAAAGCACCCACCTCATGAGGTGCCCACGAGCCGGCTGCTGGTGAGAAAAGCTCTGGGAGCGGCCCAGGCTGGCCTGGTGGCGTTCGACCAGTTCGCGGACCGCAGGGCTGCCGGGGCTGCTCTTGCGGGAGACGGGCCGGGCCTCGGGGGGTGGGTTGGAGACGCTGGCGGTGAACTGCAGCTTCAGCTTCATGTGCTGGGACAACTTGGGAGCAGGGAAGGAGAGAGCGCAGAAAGGAAATTGAGGCAGGCTGCTGCTGCTGCTGCTGCTGCTGCGGCCGCTTGTGTCCCCTGGCTGCCCACCCCTTTTTGGCGATGGGGGACTGGTTTCTTCACGGTGCAGGACCCAAAAAGGGTGCACACCTCCAGGCAGAGTCCTAGGCCCAAGCAGTCTCCTCCGGCCTGCTCGTTTCTGGCCACTGAGAAGGAGGCCGTCCTCCTGTAGGCTTGAGGAAGCAGGCTTTTGAGTGCGGTGGGAGCTGGGCAGGGAGTCAGGCTGTGAAAGCCAGAAACACCAGCACTCATGGAGGGAAAGGGGATGGAGGCGTGGGTCTGGGTCTTACCTCGTATAAGCCAGCACGCAGAGCCTGGAATGTGACCCGGAAAGTGCGGGCGCTGCCCTTGCGGGAGAACCCCAAGTTGTTGAGTGGGGTGTGGCACACAATTGCCTCCTGGGTGTCCTGTATGGCACGCCGTTCCTCACAGGAGAGCTTCTTGCCTGGAGGGTCCAGAAGCAAAAGGGAAGGAAGTAGGAGCCCCTCCTTGCCCTTCTGGGCTGCGCTCTCCCTCCCTCCCAAGCAGAGGCCTGGGGAGCAGGGGCACAGGTAGCCCCATTACCCATGGTGTTTCCCCGCTGTGCCTTTTGACAGCAAAAGGCAACTTTTCCCAGGACAGGGAAAGTAGGCTTTGCCTCCTCGGTATGGGCACCCACCGAGGAGTCAGATTTCTCTGGCAGCAGCCCTTCTCTCTTCTCCCACACCTCCTCCTGTAGCCAGGAGCAGCAAATTCCTCCAGTCCGATCCACCTTCCTTCCCCCTACCAGCACTCACCAGCACCAGCACTTTCTGGGGTCCACACTAAACGTACAGCTAGGAAGTCCTGCAGGTTATTGATGAGGGTGTAGGTAACGGTGAAGCGGCGGTGGAGGGTGACAGGCGAGGGGCATTCTGCGGTCATCACAAACCGGGGGTGAGCCAGGCGGATACTAGGTAGCCTGCGGGGAAATGAGAGGGAAGTCTTGAGATTGGGTGGCCCTCTTGGCTTCCTGTAGATGTAAGCAACGACACAACACACAACAAAATGCTCCACACCCGGCCTGTTATGCTTGGGAGAATGAGCTAAAGGCCCAAAGCATCCACCACAAGCTGCAGGGCACCCTTCTGCTCCTGAAATGCCTCCTTGCTGCAAGAGGGCCACACCCTCTTGGTGCCTGCAAAGGGTAGCAGCTTCCGTCGCTCCAGCCAAAGACGGCTCTGTGTCTGTGCACACACATGCACCCATGGAGTCCAGGGACAGATTCCCCCATCAGGCTGCCTGCTTTACTCTGTTGAACCAGCACCTCCTGGGTTTGAGAGCCTCCACAGGGAGGATCACAAGTGGGTCAACTGGCTGAGCTCTGTGCAAGGGAATACAGCAGGCTCTTGCCCAGAACACCACCAGGGAGGAGGTGATAGAAAACCCGAGGAGAGACATCCGCATTATGCTAAAGGCCTGCTGTCCAGCCACAGCATCCGCTCAGAATGCCTCCTGTCACAGGTCGAGAGGAAGTGGCGCAGTCCCACACTATTTGCCATTGTCTGAAAACAGCCAAGCCAAAGCATTCAGTTGTGCCTGAGGAGGAGCAAAGTTGACCCTCACAGTGCATGGGCAAAAAGTGACCGGACTGGAGCCTGACTTCCTTCCTACCCCTGGCCAATGGCACAAAGTCCTCCTTCACACCTGGGAGCTGCAAGAGAGCTGAAGGGGTCTCAAGCAGGTCACATGGGGCTCACAAATGCTGCTCTCCTCCCCCCCCCCATCATATCACTTTGCCTCTATGTGGGATCAACCACACTTGCCTGAGGAGCAGCTCATGGGGCAGGAGGCTTGTTTTCAGCAGGAGGTGTTGAAGTATTTGGGGGGAGGGCAGCCAAAACCAGGACTAGCTCACCTGTAATGTGTGTAGATACTGGTGGTGAAGGGCAGCTTGGGGGTTGACCACTGGACCACTGCAATGAGCGGGACCTCTAGACCCTGCAATGGGCAATTAAGAGGGACTGACAGGTACATCTGCCCAGGTTCCACCCCGGTCATGTCTCTGCTTGCAGTCCTGGCCACCTGGGGTTCTGAAGGAGCCCTTCCATCGCTCTTGGCTCCCTCCCACCCCACCACCCCTGCTCTGCCCACGGGGCCGTCACCAGGCCTTGTCCTGTGTGGATGCAAACCAGGGCCTGAGCCCTGCCCTCTCTGGATGCACCAGGCATTTCCCCACAAGCCTTACTTACCTCCTTGGCACTTTCTGGGGGTTGCTCTGGTGCCTGCAGCTGGAAGAGGAAGTTCTGCTCCTCAAGAGCACGAAGGGCACATGGGCACGAAGAGGTTGCAGAAGGGACACGGCAAAAGGAGGCCATGGAGACTTCACCTGACTGGTGGCTGTGGCAGGAGGAGGAGAACAGCAGCAAGGAGTTGAGGAGGGAAGCTGCACCCTCCACCCAGGCAGCCTTCTGAGCCCTCTCCTCTGCCAGTGTCTCACTGAGGGGTCTTCCACGCAGGCCAGCTGAAAAGTCAGGCCAGATGCAGGCACTGCTGCAGAGCTCTGCAGGGTCCCAGTCCCCCCCCCCACACTGCTTGAAGCACCTTATCACCATCACCTTTCAGGAAGACCTGCAAGAGAGTGCCTCGCCTCACTCTCCTCTCCTATTGCAGCTGTATGACTTGAGAGGTGTATAGATATCTATGTGAGCCTTCTGTCTCTTTCACATGCATTCAAGCACACACTCCTCTCTCTTTCTCAAGCTCTCCCTCCCTCTCAGCTGGAAATTTCTTTGCCTCAGGTCCTTGTCCAGATCAAGGGCACCATCTCACTGGCTGGCTTCACAAGGCTGCTAAGGCAACACACGTACAACAGTGTTGCTGCGTATAGCACTCTCTGTAACCCTTTCCCCTCCTGGCCTTTGTCCACCATCCAGCCTGATCTTATTTTTAGAAGCAGGACAAGAATGCATACGAACAGGAACCACACACCTGGAGAGCTGCCAGGGACTGCCCACTCACAAAAGTGCTCACTGGGGGTGGGAGGGAAGTGTGATTTAAGAGAAGCAAGTGAAAATGGACACTCAGCAAAAGACAGAAAACCCAGAGTCAACATTATATAACAATGTCAGTCTGAGTTAGCAACTGACCAAAAAGGGGATCTTGGATTTGTAGTCAAAAAGTCACAGATGGGGGGGGGACCCCTGACCATGTGAGAGGTGGCTGTAAGAAAAGAGGAATTCTGCTTGGGGCATCATCAGCAACAAAGTCAAAACTAAAACTGGCCATATTGTCGAGCTGTTATATCAGCTGACAGTGTGAATGCACCTGCTCGACTGTGTAGAGCAGGCTTGTCCAACCTGCGGCCCAAGGGCCACATGCGGCCCAGGTCAGCTCGTAATGCGGCCCAGTGCAATTTTTTATTTTTAAAGAAATGCCAAAGTTTCAAGTTACACTGCTGGCGCTTGCAGCCGGGGAGGAAGGTAACAGAAAAAAGGGGTCAATGCATGACTCCCCAATGGAAAAAAAAAGCCACAGTGCTTGATGCCCTTCAGCTCAGAAAGAAGGAGAGCAAGGAGAGAGCTGCAGAAGAAGCCAGATTAAGGGATTGAGGGGGGAAAGGCATTTTACCTGTGCTGAGACCCATTTTCACCACCCAGAAGAAGACAAAAGGAAGGCCTTCTTCATTCTAGAAAGCCCAGAATTAAGCACAAGAACCTGTAATTCAGAGCAGTAGGTCATGTGTGGAAATGTAGTACCGTCCCCTTCTTGGCTCCCCTTCTCCTTACCAGACATCATCAACAAGCAAGACAGACCCATCAGGCATCATGGGAAGGTAACTGGCATTAAAATTGGGAAGGATCCGTACATCCCATACAGAGAGTTCCTCCTGGGAAGCTCCATTCAAAACTGGAAGGGAAGAAGGAAGTGGGCAAAGATGAAGGGTAAGGTCACATAGCCCAAAGCCACCTGGGCCCTTCCTCCTGGATGGAGTCAGGCAGCTGCCTCTGCTTCCCATTTGGGAGCAGCCATGAAAGGGAAAGGCGCCAGACACCCAGCCTGGCACAGCTCCCAGCACACCTTGCCCGTGGGTGCCTGCCACTATTTCAGGATGCATGTGGTCCCTTCAACAAGCTTCCTTCCACACCTACCGCATTGTCTGTCTGTC